CCAGCTACTTGGGAGGCAGAAGCAGGTGAATCACTTGAGCCCAGAAGGTGGAGGTTGCTGTGAGCTGTGATGCCACAGCACTATATCCAGGGCGACAGCTTGAGGCTCTGTCTCAAAAAAAAAAGAGACAGGGTGGCGCCTGTGGCTCAAAGGAGAAGGGTGCTGGCCCCATATGCCAGAGGTGGCGAGTTCAAACCTAGCCCTGGCCAAAAACTGCATAAACAAACAAACAACAACAACAAAAATAAAAAAACAGAGAGACAGGCTGTGCCCGTAACTCAGTGGGTAGGGTGCCGGCCACATACACCAAAGCTAGCAGGTTCAAACCCAGCTCAGGCCAGCTAAAACAACAATGACAATTGCAACAACAACAACAAAAAATAGCCAAGTGTTGTGGCAGTCACCTGTAGTCCCAGCTACTTGGGAGGCTGAGACAAGAGAATCGCTTAAGCCTAAGAGTTGGAGGTTGCTAGGAGCTGTGACGCTATGGCACCCTACTAAGGGCGACAAACTAAGATACCGTCTCAAAAAAAAAAAAAAAAGACAGAGCATGGTTTCATTTCTGTAGCTGGAAGACAATGAGTGTTGTTTTTAAAGAGTATGACTGATCGTGGCTATATCCTTCTATTACTCAGCACTAACTTCTATTACTCAGCACTAACTTCTATTACTCAGCACTAACTTCTATTACTCAGCACTAAAGCAAAGCTCAGAGACCACAGTTTGGCCAATGGACTGGGGACAACATGTGCTATAATTTCCCCTCAGAAATACCCTGGGTAATAAGGCATTTTAGTTAGTTAGCTAATACTTCCTAGTAAAGAATGAAATCAAAAATTTCTTCTTTCCTTTCTCAAAGTTTCCCACTAAGTGTGATATGTTTAAGGTGCCTCACATACACATCTATTTTTTTAATATCACAGGTTTGAAAGGCATCCACGTTATATACGGATTCAGATGCACATATACCTTTGAAACACACTTACCTGTATTTTATGTCTCTCCCTGGTGCCAATTCTCAGTGCAAAGGTGGACCCAGGTAACAATGGCCAGCAAAGACACTCTCCATAATGCCTGGCAATGTCACATTCAAGACATATGGGACAAAATAGGCCACAGAAACCTGTCAATAACAACATCAGATTGAGGTTCTCAGATGTCCTTGAAGCAACTTCACATCTCAGAGGGCATTGACAGCTCTCAGCCATCAATCTAATGCTGCACTGTCTTCCTGCAATCAAGGACTAAGAGTGAATAACCAGTTTTCAAAACTCAGTGTGTAAAAATTATCTTCTTTTGTCACTGACAAAGCTAACCCTGATACAGTTCTGCTAGTATTGAGGATGATGTTTTTTTCCCTGCCAAGAGAAAAATATTAAATAATTTTTACAGGTGAATCATACCTGTTGTATAAATCTAATTTTAATATTTAAAATAGATACAACATACAGGATACTTTTGAATAACTGACATTGTTTTCTCTAAATGTGATGGAGAGATCGTTTAAGGTAAATTGATTCTGCCTTCCATTCTTATGACAGCAGAACCTTATTCCATTTCTCAGATCAGAAGCTTAGTCTAATTTTTGTTAGTCTTATAGAGCCACTGACTTCTGCCAGTTTTTTTGTTTGTTTGTTTGTTTGTATGTTTGTTTTTGAGACAGAGCCTCAAGCTGTCACTCTGGGTAGAGTGCTGTCGCATCACAGCTCACAACAATCTCCAACTCCTGTGCTCAAGTGATTCTCCTGCCTCTGCCTCTCAGGTAACTGGGAATACAGGCACCCACCACAACACTCGGCTATTTTTTGTTACAGCCATCATTGTTGTTTAGCGGGCCGGGCTGGATTCGAACCCACCAGCTCTGGTGTACCTGGCTGGCACCTTAGTGGCTTGAGCCACAGGCACTGAGCCTTCTACCAGTTTTAATCTACAAACTATCAGGGGCTTGGTTCCTTGAACATCAACTGGAAACAGTTGGTCAGTACAGTATTATTTGTAACATGAAACTTAAAACAACTTAAATGTGTATGAATAGACTAAAGTGCCAATAAACAATAATGGTGTAACCATGTCATGGAATATGAAAGTGCAATTAAGCACCAACAGAATTAAATATCTAAGACATATTTTGAGTTTTAAAAAATCAAACTGCATAATTATAAATACAAGACAATACCATGTATGTTTTGTTTAAAGAGTTACAACAGAGTAGTACATATATATGTTACTAATGGTCACATATGTAAATAAGGGAAAAAACCTGATGTCTCTAAGTTGATTTTTAAAAAGAGAGGAACATGGTTCCCTTTTTCTATAAGGTTTCATTTTATACAAGGCAAATGTATTCATGTGTTATAAATGAAAAAAATGTCTTTTTTTTTTTTTAATGACTTGGATTCAAAGTGAATTTGAGCCATAAATTCAGCCTCTTGCTCTTATACCTGGTTAGGTAAACTCCCTCAACTCCTGCCTGTTCTCTTAGATGGGCTCCACCCTCATGCATGGAATGTGGCTTATTATTTATCCTTCTAATTCATAGGGGAGTCCAGAGAAAGAAAAAACCTACACAAAACCAGAATGAGGAGCAGAAATAGGAAAGGTGGGTGGAAATTGCAGCAAGGCACACTTCAGATTGATAATTGATAATTATGAAAAGGCAGGACTCTCTAACAAGAGATGCTCAGAAAAGAAATGGGGCACACTCATGTATTGCCAAAGGGAATATAAACAGAAAGGCATTTGGCAATATCTATCAATATTGAAAACAGCACATACTATTTGAGCAGCACGTTTACTCAACAGTTATTCAGCAGATGTACTCACACGCACGTGAAATGACATCTGTACAAGGATATTCATACAGCATTGGTTTAAATAGCAAAAAGTCTGGAAACCATGTAAAGGTTCACCGATGGAGATTTCTGGATAAATAAACTATAATACTTTCATACAATGGAATCTTTGTGGCAATTAAAGAAATTAGCTCCAGATGGGCTGATGTGGTCTGATCATCCAGACACATTGTTAAATTAAAACAAAACAAAGTTGCAGAAGAGTGTGTGTTTTCAAGTCTACCATTTGTGTAAATTACACATATACACATAGACAAGCAAAACATCTGGAAGAACAGATACCAAAATATGAACAATAATTATTTTCAAAAGCTAGAATTACAGGGATGCTGGGTTTTTTTCCTTTTATAGCTTTTTTGCATTTTTCTTTTTTACAATGATTATATAATATTGTATAAAAAATTAATTTTCATTATATAAATTTTTATACCCTTATAGGTACAGAGACTCTATCTGTACTCAGTTAAGAGTAGCTGCCTTGGGGTGGCGCTTGTGGCTCAAAGGAGTAAGGCGTTGGCCCCATATGCTGGAGGTGGTGGGTTCAAACCTAGCCCTGGCCAGAAAAAAAAAAAAAAGAGTAGCTGCCTTTAGAGAGAAAAACTAGGTGAATAGAGAGCAGAATGGATCATCCTTGTTCTTCATATACAAATAGGGTAGGTACTTTTGTGTGTTATGTGTACAGTAACCTGTTCAAACTATTTTAAGCACTGAGTTAGCTCCAAAGGAAGTGAGCCCCCTTATCTAGAAGTGCTCAGAAACCTGAGGCTGTCAGGTCATTGCCAGGCATGTTACACGGGGGATTTAAGCAAACAGATGAGGGGCTAGGCAAGCTGAGCTCCAACGTCCCTTATAACTCTGACGCTCTAGGATTCTTTCAATCAAGTGTAAGAAAGAAAGAAGTAAGTAAGAATACAGGTTAAAATTCATTCGTTTATGTGTCATTCAGGAAATATTTTTATTTATTTTTTTTTTTTTCAGGAAATATTTTTAAGTGCCTCCTATGGGACAGGTGCTGTGCTGGGCATCAGAGCAATGAATAAAACGTGGTCCCAGCTTTCAGGAAGGCTACAGCTTACCTGAGATAGAGTGTAGGGACATGAATCCTAGTCTGATGCCTCCTTCCCTTTTCAGAAAACCAAAGAATACTCTGGCTTGCTTTCTTCTACCCACCCATCTTGGGCATCTAGTTCCTAACACACACTAATTTCTTTACTGCCTGGTGCTTATAGCGCCCTCTACAGGGAAGTTGTTTAAGTGGTTGGATCTTTACTATCTTTCAGTTCCTTGGAGAGGCCGTCCTTTACCCCATCTTCTATAATTTCCTCTCACAATTCTCTGTTTTATTTCCTTTGTAGAATCTGTCACAACTGTAATTATTTTTTATTAATGTGTTAATTCTCTGTTCCCCCTAAGAAACTCTTATTCACTAATATGTCTGTAACACCTATCTTGTGACCATACAAGATGGGGAGGAACTCAATAAATATTGGTTGAATTATGAGCCAATGTTGGCTACATCCGTCACATAAACCTTCTCTAGGGCAACATCACAAACATCCCCAAAGCTGGACTACCCAGTCTTTTACTCACCATGCCTTTTGTCTATGATGCCATTTAACAGCCACTATTTCACCCTGGCTTCATCTTCACATCTCAGCTCTTAGCTACCCTATCTTCAAAGGACACAAAGACACCCATTTGCTACTCCCAGAGCAGTGTGGATTCAGATGAAAGCACAGAGATGGGAAGAGGGAGGCAACTGAAAAAATACAATTACAATAAAGCGAAGAAGCAAAATGTCAAAAAGAAATGCAAATCACTGCTGTTAGTAACATACCTTTTGCTTAGTGGATGACAAATTGTAGCCATAATTCTCAGCATTTGGTGGGGAAATGTGCTAGGATGGGAATCTGGCATGGAAAAGTCAGGGGAAGAAGCTCTCCTTTTGTTCCCAAGTCTGTCACAACTATTTGCACAGTGATTTATTTGAAATGAAACTTAGTGGATGAAACAATCCACAATTAAAAGTCTTTGTAAACAAGGAGGGGAAGAAATGTAAGACTCATAGCACTTACATTACAGCAGCATCTTCAGAATTAAGGTGTAGATAATGACTATGTAAAGTAATATTACCTTTAAATTTTCTTCCAAGATGATTAACTCAAAGATACTATGAGCAGTCACAGAATAGAAGTTCCCTTTAGGGAACAAAAATTAGGACACAACATTCAAAATCACCTTGCACTTTACCCGGGGCCTATCCTTAATAACTCATGCCCAGTCATAAAGACAATTGTATAACATTTTTCCACATATGCTTCCTTCTCCCCTCATCACTACAATGAACTCTCAAGTGAACAACCGGGGATGCTTGGGGAACCCCGTCTTACTGGTGTCCTGAGCGTCTATGGCAGCTGAGAGCAGAGCCGAGCAATGCAGCAATGTGGAACATAAAGAGAGTAACTGGGGACCGAGCATTTCTTTGACCAGCTTTTTCAGTGGTCTTGGGATTAGGTAGAAATCACACTGCACCATCCAGGCTAAATTTCTTACTCAACTCTTTCAACATGCTGAAAGATAATCAAAATATATAATAACAGTATTAATAGCCAAGATTCACTAAGTGCATTGTCATGACATTTGCTGGAATTTTCCTAATAACAGCACCCCAACAGTAAATTCAGGAAATTACTCCTTTGTTATGGTAAACAATGTTGGTAAGACTGTCATTCAGTGTGTCCTGGCCTGGCCAAGCAGTGGATACCTGACTCAAACTAGACCACTGAGCAGCTTCTGCTGAAACATCAATTATCCAACAGGATTACACAAGGTTAAAGACCTCTGATGTTGACAAGACCGTCAGCTAGCACTGATAATAATCTATCTTGTCCTTTCTGGGCTTGCCTTTCAGCTGATTCTATGATTCAGGGAGCTACCCCATAGCCTGCTAATGAAATCCAAGGTTTACTTGTGTATTACTTTCCTAAGGCTGCCATAACAGAAAAACACAAATTGGGCAGCTTAAAATAATAGAAATTATTCTCCCACTGAAAAACTCTGGAGGTTGGAAATGTGAAACCAAAGTGTTGGCAGAGATGGTTTCTCCTGGAGGGTCTGAGGGAAAATCTATCCCTGCCTCTTTCTTATTGATAGTTTCTGGGGGTTGCTGGCAATCTTTGGTGTTCTTTGGCTTGTAGCTCTGTCACTCCAGTCTCTGCCTCTGTCTCCACACAGTCATCTGCCCTGGGTGTCTGTGTCTAAATTCCCCTTCTCTTCTAAGGACACCAGTCATTAGATTGGGGTCCACCCTAACACAGTGTAACTTTATTTTGACTACACTGCAAGGACCCCATTTGCAAATAAGGTCACATTCAGAGGTTCCAAGTGAACATGAATTTCAAGGGGACACTATTCAACCTAGTATGTCTATAAACAAAAAATCTCTAAAGGATCCAGTTATCTTCCAAACCAGTGTTAAGAATGGTTTCTATAAATTATTTGCTTTAACCTTGAAAACGGCCTTTGAGGTAAGCACTTTTATTATCTTCATTTTAGAAGTGGAAAAATGAAGACCCAGGGAACTTGCTCAAGGCTACATGGCCAGTGGAAGCAAGGTTAGGATCCAAGGTGAGGTGATTCCAGGATTTGCCCTAGTTAAAGGTGCATTGATGTTTCTCCCCAACCACCAGCCATGAGCTATGAAAAGAAAAAGGTCCACCTACCAACCTGGAGCCATGTCTCCACATTTCTGCATGGGACTCTATCCTTCTATACCTCAGTACTGAGTGACATCCAAAGTCAAGGAAAGAACAGAGAACCCAGAAGAGTCCTGAGAGAAGCAGAGGACAGCTGCCATAATCACCTGTCAGAAATCTACCTGGGTACAGTGGCAGGAAGACTTGCCAAGCTCTGGGCCAAAGAGAAGAAAGACTTTGGGCTGAATGAGGACTTTCTCAAAACATTCTGGGTGATCCATCTTGTGAGGCTTTAGGACAAATTTAGGTCTTCTTAGAAGCCTGCAGAGGATAAGAGAGGTATATTCTTCAAAAATGTCAGATGAGGGTCTGCTGGTTTTGAACTTAAGAGACTGCCTCTCATCCCTCCAAGAGGAGATTGTGTGATCCATTTGCTCCCTAGAGCAAGATCATCAGGGGATCCCGACACAAAGGTACCAGAGATAGGTCAGAATGTCCTAAGCTAAAAACAGAATCCCTGTGCTTTGAAATCTAAACCCAGGGGAAAACCATGTATAATAGCTAGAGGACAGTGTTATTTGTACCTCTTTATTGCTGAACTTGTGTCTGAAAAAATTTTGATCAACAAAGGGAGTTTCTTTTTGTGATTGTTCTTGGTGTTCTAAGAGTACTACATAGTCTTCATAGAAATATTGAAAAGAGGAGAGGGCGGAGGCAAGATGGCCGACTGGAGCCAGCTTTCCACAGAGGCTCCTGTCCAGAAGGAGAGTTAAAAGACAGAAGTTTAGCAAGTAAGCTGATGGTCTGGACCTGAGCCAAAAGAGAAGGTTGAAGAATGCACATCAACCCTGCTGAGGGGAGCTGTGATCCCAAGGAAACAAACAATAGGTATAAAATACATCACCAACCAGACAGGAGTCCCCTCCCCTACAAGAATGGCTCGCAGTATACTCTATACAAACAGATCCCCTCCTATTTTATCCCACTTTTTCTTTTTTTAGAGGGAGTGACCCTCTAAAAACCCAAACTCCTTCCCTAGAGGGACTTACGAATGTGCTATCGCACTCCCCTGCCAGACATAAAACTGTATAAAACTGTATATATTCTCTACCTGCAATTCTGAACTCACAGCACTCCCCTCCACTTTCACCCTGAGGTTTGGAAGCCTGTCCCCCAGGGAGTCCAGATTCTTGGGCATTTTATCAAGAGGTGTGGACAGGACCTGGGCTATTGCTGGTCTGTGCTGATTCTGCAGCACAGAGTAAGGAGAAGACAGTGAATTAAGGCAACCACATGGGAGAGAGAGAGGCGGTGCCCCAAGGCACAGAGGAGCAGCATATTTTGGAGAGATACTTCCAACCTCTCTGAGCAACCAGAGGAAGTCAGGGACCTTCTCTGGTGGCAGCCACTGGCAGAACAGAACTGGGATGGAAATGCAGGCCCTGTGAGTAAAGGGTGAGGTGGTACCTGCCTGGGAGGGGCACAGCAGGGACTCGCCCAGAGACAGCATACTTCCAGGGTGGGACTGAGCCAGAAGGACTGCTTTAGTGAGCCTAAGAAGCACCTGGCCCTCAGGGGATCATAGCTGAGACAAAGGCGGGTGGGCAGAGGCTGAAACTGAGAGCAAAGTATGAACTCTAGCTACACCCACCCCAAAACAAACTGCAGCTGAGACAGACAAGCCAGCTCTGCAGTGGCACAGGCCAGGGCTGAGTCGCAGTTTCTGTGAACTCAAACAGCATCTGGTCCACAAGGAAATATAGCATGGACAGAAACAAATTCTGCAAAATTGTTCTGTTCTGTCAGCAACATGAATCAGGGGTGGGGCTGGAACTGAGTGAACCACCCCAACTTCCATTAAGCATCCAAGGCTATCAGTCCTCAGCTGTCCCTGCCGGATAGTGGCAGAGTACAGCAAGGAGACATAGATCTCCCTGTGGCTTAGGCAGGCACAAACCCCTGGAGCATCCGCTCATTGGAAGGAACTGGGTCACAGCCCTGCAGGGTTACCAGTGACTGGGTGTGACAGAAGTGCAAGGTGGGAAGGAGGCATTAACCTTCCCAGACTAATTCATTTGCTGGGTGGGTCCTTCTGACCTCACAGAGCACCGGAGTGAGTCATACTTGAGCTGCCAGCAGACCCCTGCTATCTAGTTGCCAGAGACCCTTTTGAACTCTCCCACCTAAGACAGGTGCTGACTGGGACAATTGATTTGGACCTCTCAAACTGGGCCAATCACCCGAGGACTATCCAAAGTAGTACCCTGGGTGTGTGGTTGTGGGAAGGTTTGATTTTCCTTTTCCAATTGTTGCCCATGGGGGGCAGGGTGATTGCTGGTATTTCTTAACACTTGAGACTTCAACCCAGAGTAACTGATTCACTAGGGTAGGATAGAGACCAGCTAAAAACAAGACAGAGTTACTTAGCCCCACCACACCAAGCAGGTCCCCAGTGTCTCAGGCTATCGAACTGTATAGGACCTTTGCAAAGCTCTAGGGGAAAAGGTACAAACACCAGTCCCAGCTCTTGGGCTGGTTAATTACTATTCCAGGAGCCCCCAACCCAAGTTCACCTTATCTGCTCATCTAGCCAAATGGTGTAAAATAATCATGGGGCGGAATCAGCAGAAAAACTCTGGTAATGTGAATAACCAGAGTAAATCAACTCCCCCAAAGAACAACATGGCAGAAACAACTGAAGATCCCATTCATAAACAAATGGCTGAGATGTCAGAAATCAAATTCAGAATTTGGATTGCAAATAAGATTAAGAGAATGGAGGTAAAATTGGAATTAGAAATTCAAGGAGCATTTCAAAAGTTGTCTCAAGAATTCAATGAATTCAAAGACAAAATCACCAAAGATTTTGACACATTGAGACAAGAAGTTGAAGCCCTCAAAGATCTGAGAACACAGTAGAATCCTTCAGTAACAGAATGGAGCAGGCAGAAGAAAGGATTTCTGACATTGAAGACAAGCTTTTTAACACTCCCAAACACTCAAAGAGGAAGAGAAGTGGAGAGCAAAAACGGAACATTCTCTCAGAGAGCTCGGGGATACTGCAAAGAAAAGTAATATTCACCTTATAGAAATTCCTGTAGGCAATGAGGTGGCTTCGATTTTACTATATGTGCTGCCGAAGCAAGCACGATGGCTTCAAAAGGCACAGAGGCTCTTCTTCATGAGATAAAGAAGGAGAATTTCCCAGACATGCTAAGAGATCCTGAAATTCAGATAGCAGATAGTTTCAGAACCCCAGCATGACTCAACCTGAATAAGCCATCTCCTAGGCATATTATAATTCACTTCATCAAAGTTAAAATGAAGGAGAAAATTCTGCAAGCAGTCAGACATAAAAAAACCATAACCTATAAGGGGAAGAACATTAGAATGACTGCAGATCTCTCTGCTGAAACCTTTCAAGCTAGAAGAGGGTGGTCATTGACTTTTAATCTCCTAAAACAAAATAACTTTCAACCCAGCACCCTGTATCCAGCAAAACTGAGTTTCATTTATGATGGAGAAATTAAATACTTCAATGACATTCACATGTTGAAGAAATTTGCCATAACTAAACCAGCTCTCCAGAATATTCTTAGACCTATCCTCCATAATGACCAGCACAATCTTCCACCACTAAAGTAAACTCACTCAGAAACTTTTGATCAATTCCAACTTCCACAGTGGTGAAAGGATTAAATGTCTACTGGACTTTCAAAAAACTCAATACCTGGCTCGGCACCTGTGGCTCAAGCG